CAATGGTCCTTGGGATATTGAATTGCTGCTCTCAGGGCTGAATGAAGCCTGGTGTGGGTGGAGGAGGAGCTGGGCTCCCCAGAAGAGATTAAACACAATTGCAACAATTTGTCAGGCGAAACAGTGATGGCTCGCTAAGGGCAGGACTCCCCTTGATCAGACTCCTATTAGTTGTGCATACTTCAAGTCACTTATTTAAACCTAAACCTCATGTCAGTGCCCCGAAGTTGACTTGGGGATCACTGAACCTCCATTGGCTTCTCTTCCCAGTCTAGCCACACTGGGTCTTTTCAGTGTTTCTGTCTCTAATTGTCTTTACAAGAAGGTGAGGGGTTACAGAGAAACCCTGTCTTGAAAAAACAAAGCAAAAAACAAGAAGGTGGGAGCTAAACCTCTGTGGACCAGGCTAGCCTCAGATTCACAGAGATCTGCCTGTCTCTGCCTCCCAAGCGCTGGGATTAAAGGCGTACACCACTGTCACCCGGCTCAAGGTTTTCACCCTTTAAAAGTGTTGGTAATAATTTGGCAAGGTAGTGGAGTGGCAAGATTCAACAGACTCCATACAGCCCTAGAACCCTTTCTCGAGGGAACTTCAGATCTTGGGTTTCAGCCAGCACGAACTGCTTTGGAATTGAATTTAGCGAAAAGAAATGTGTGTTTCGACCCTTTGCCTGGGCTTTGCCTTCTTGTTGGCTTAGAGGCTTTTTGAGGTGCTTGATTTCATTTGGGCTATTATCCCTTGAAAGTCTGAGCAAATCTGGAGTACTGTTGGGTCACTGGCCATTGCCATATACCAAGCAAGGCTGAAATGTGAGCATTTCAGATCTCTTCTGTAACACCTGCATTTGGAGATGGGGCTGATGCAGGAAGACTATGAGTCATATACCTGCCTGACACAGTAAGACTCTGTATCATAAAAAAATATTAAAAATTATTTTAGGAGTCGGAGAGATGGCTCAGTGGTTAAGAGCACTGACTGCTCTCCCAAAGGACCGGGGTTCAATTCCCAGCACTCACATGGTGGCTCTTAACTGTCTGTAACTCCACTTCCAGGGCTTCTGATGCCCTCTTCTGGCCTCCATGGGACCCTGGCAAGCAAGTAGCATACAGACATACATGCACATAAAATAAAAATTTTTAAAAAATTGAAGTTAAAAAAGCAAACTAATCAATAAACAACAAATATCCTTTTCCAAAGGACCCCCAGCACCCAGAGCCCTATCCTATTCTCACACACACACACACACACACACACGTGCACGAAGCAGATGTTTCTGATAGAGAAGCACACCTAGTTCAAGGTGGTTGGTTCTTACCTTTTTCAAAGCTTCATGGAGTTCATTGAGGACGTAAATCAGGAACTCCTGTGCATCTTGCTGTGTCTTTTTCAGAAAAACTGGGTAAAGGCTGCCAAGAGCCGACAGAAATATCTCAGGTGAGACACAGTCTGAGTCCCCAAGCCACATGTCTGTCATCAGGTAGGCAAAGGCGGTGGTGACCTCACTGCAATCCCTGGGGAGAAGAGAGGGTGAAGGGCAACCAGTCCCCGCTGATTCATGAAGAGCAGAGCCAGTCGTGGGGGATCGGGACCATGCCACCGTCAGGTCTGCCTGCTGCTTACCCTTGAGTTATCGAGGGACCTACAGTGCCTGGGCTGGCACAGCCCTTCCATCACCCCGCCCTGCCTCGGGGAACTGGGGGAACTGGGGGAGGGCAGAGCACTGAGCGCCTCTTACTTCTGAAGAGCTGTCATGTACTTTCCTGAGAGGAAGTACTCCACCAGTGGAGATATGCTGCAGAGGCATTGCAAGATGGCGTTCATGTAGCAGGTGTTGCCCAGGTTCCGCAGTCCTGTCACGCCCTGCAAGTGTGGCTGGCTCTCAGACTCCGGAAGGCAGGCATGGTCTGCACACTCGGAACTGCGTGGGCTGCACACATGGAAGGAAAGTGTTTCCAGGGAGGAGGGTAAGTGCAAGTGACAGCAAGGCCCTCGCCACTTAGGAAATAAAGGAGTTCTTTTGTGGTTGGCAGGCAAGGTCTTGGAACCTAGACAGTCTCTGAACTGACAGTCTCTTGCTTCACATCCCAGTCTGTGGTTACCTGCCACCAGCTTGGCAAGGGAGGTTTTGCTTGTTTTGTTATGAGATAGGGTCTCCCTATGTAGCCCTGGCTGGCCCAGTACTGACTATGAAGACCAGGCTGACCTTGAACTCGCAGAGATCCCCCTGTCTCTGCTGGAATTAAAGATGTACACCACCATATTGAGAACATGATACATACACATAGTAAGAACATATATATTCATGTTAAGAACACAAATGTGTATATATGCAAACACGCATATATACATACATAGAGGAAAGGAGAGAAAAAACTAGACTCACATCCTTACTATGCTATGCTAATGACTAGTTATTATATATTTATCATCTGGGTTCTTTTTTTTTTTTTTTGGTTTGGTTTTTCAAGACAGGGTTTCTCTGGTTCTGGCTGTCCTGGAACTTGCCCTATAGACCAGGTTGACTTTGAACTCACAGAGCTCCACCTGCCTCTGCCTCTTGAGTGCTGGGATTAAAGGCATGTGCCACCACCCTGCAGTTGTGATCTGGGTTTGTGTGCCTGCTCATTTATAAAATAGAAACAATGAGTGTGGTCATGTGCCTAACGTGAGCCTCTGGGTTCGGTGCCCAGCACCTTTTCTCCCACCGGCACAGGAATGCTCCACCTCCCTTGTGGGTCAGGCGTGTGCCATGCTAGGTACTTAGCCTAGATTACATAGTAAATGATAGCTTTGGAAAGAATACAATGGGGGCTGAAGAGATGGCTCAACAGTTAGGAGCACTTGCTGTTCTTTCAGAGGACCCAGGCTCACTTCCCACTATCTGCGTGGCAGCTCACAACTATCTGTAATTCCAGTTGCAGGGGATCTAATGCCCTCTTCTGGCCTCCAAGGGCACTTCTTTGGTGCACTTACATGCCGGCAAAATATTCATACACATACAATAAAAACAAATCTTAAAAAGTACAGTGACTTACTTAGGATGACTTAATGGTAAGGGGTGAGAGCGGAACATCTGCCCGGCATGCAGATGGGATGTGCAGCACGAAACCTCCTTTCCCTGCAGAGCTCCCTCAACACCTTTGCCCTTTCCTTGTCCTAAATCTAGAATTGGTGTCCCATGATACGGGGGCCTCTCTCAGGACTTCTGCTCACAGTTACACCCGTCTGAAAAGTGCTCACCGGTAGGTACAGGAGGGTCCTTTTCACTTTTGCTCACTGATGTCAGAGGCCCTGGACTGACTGCTTAGGAAGTACATGTATGTTACCTCTTTGGGGTCCTTCATGGGTCAAATCCGGCAGAGCCCTCCCCAATACAACACGTGCCCGACTCCTGGGGGTAAGGCTCTGCCCCCATTCCTAAGGTTATCTATAAAGGCACAGTACATAGAGGCTCACAGGACATAGTAGATACCGAAGTCATCTGCTGGCAATGGCCGGTGAGAAGTCATTTTAGTGGGAGCACGTTGGATTTTCACTTCTACTCAGGAGCTAAATTTGATCCTTTTAACTTCATTTCTCCAAGAGTGTTTCCTTGGCTACTGTTTGTTTTGTTTTTAAACAATTTAAATGCCCTTCCTCCTTGCGGTTGCTGCAGACTGATCACAGCTGGCTCAGGCCTGTTCCAACTTGGTCCTTACCTTTCATCACAATTGTTTCCCATCACCCCAAGGTTCTAGCGTGTTGTCAAGGGATACGAGTATTTGTTTGAGATGTGTCCACGTCACTGCTCTTCCTCCACTGCTCAGTTTCTCCTGGGTACATGTATGTTACACACAAGCACACACAGATGATTGTCCCTTGGATTAGTGGGCACTATGGCATCTCCGCTCCCATGATCCCGAGCAGAACGTCTCACCCTATGGAGGAAGACTGATTTTCTGATTCCAATGCACACTGCAGTGGGGTCACCAGGAGACAGTGGGACATGGTCATATTACCTGTAGTACACAGCTTATTATGAGATTTACAAGCTATGACCTCATGGGCACACAGGATTCTCTGAGCTCAGATGTGCTCCAGACTGGGAAAGTACCTGCGCTGGGGTCCTTGCTGTTGCTGGCCTGATCTTCACTGAGCAGATCTACTGAGGCAGCCGAGCAACAGCAGAAAGCAGGTCTTAGGACCAACCGCTTGGCTTCTCTATTTAGCCCAGGCAGGCCAAAGTCCAGCTTGATGAACCAATGAGCATGATGGGGGTCACTGACAGCAAATATGGATGGAGTGGGGCACATGATCACTACTCCCCCCCACCAATATGAGTGACAGTTTATGGACGCTGGACTCCAGGAGCACACACAGCCTACAGGGATCCAACAGGTTGGAGAGTGACCTTGTTAGTCTTTTAATTACAAACCACACATCACACACAAACACACACTATACCAAACCACACCCTGGTCTCCCTGGAAAAAGGCTAAGAAATATGCATTTATTATATCCATAATGATGCCCTCCGTGTGTATGTGTGTGCTGAGAATCAGAAGTCACATCAATAATCCCAACTCTAAACCTTTTAAGATTTTAGTTTTTTCCCCTTCTATCACTGACGCCACAGCATAAGACTCACCTACCTTCCCACTTCTAGCATGTGACACATACAGGGCACTGCCTCAGAGCCCGCCCTCACCTCATACAGCTCACAGTTACAAGAAGAGAGAGCTGGCTCTTAATTTTTCCTTCTCCCTGGTGGTTTGTTTTAATCTGCTCCTCTTAGATTTATCTTTTTTCTAGTTACTTGAAAGTTGTGCAGTATTTTCAAATCCACTTCCATGTACTTTAGCTACTCTGACAATACGAAGTGTAGCCTATGACCTTTTAATATAACTATGACTAAAATTGAGTAGCAAAGGTGACTATGTTATTTTTCAGTTTTGGGTGATAAAGATTTATGTGAGCATTTCTATTACTCTACCTAACATCTCCTGGTGAGGCTGGGAGGTAAGGAGTTCAATGTGACGTCACAAAGCAAACAGCTGTCTTGGTAGCTGTCTCCTGTCTGTGAGAATGCTCCTGCATAGGAAACATCCTTGATGCTGCAACTTTGGTTTTTCCTAATCTATCGCGAATTAAAGCACCAGACACTTTCCCAACTGTCCCTCTGGTGCAGTTAAAAAAGCACCTGTAAACAGGAGCGTGTCACAATTCCAACTTCACGCAATTCTTGTTTGTGGTTTTGACAGCCCTTTTCTAAAATATCACAGGGAAATTTATAAAAGAGATCAGGCGCATGACTTTGGAGGTAAGTGGGTCTCACTTCACCCCTATGAATATGAAATCTGTTCCACAAATATTGATAAAACCTTGTAAAAACCCCAGTATATAATCCAGTGGGCTGACTACTCTGTGCTCTGTCAGCCCACTCACCCCAATCTCTCTGAGGTGCTAAATTTGTACTTAAACTGTGTCAGAGCTGAATTATTTTAAAAAAACAAGAACCAAAGAGAAATGATCTTTGGTAAGAGACCACAGTATGAAATTTAGGAGAGTGAGGTTTACCTCAACTTAAAATAATTTTCAGTGTGGTAAGATTTTGAGATCAGTAGAACCTTTCTCCTCCCAGTTAGATGTGATCCAGGGACTTGGGTTCCAGCTACTCAACAGCCAGCAAAAGTTAACTCAAGGCTATGGCTCTTGACTTCTCTCACGATGATGATTAAACAGGCAAGGTGAAAGCAATCTTTCTTGGGAGAAGTCAAAGGAAAGTGAGACACTAGGGAAGAGGTTCCCAAGAGTGGAATAAACATTGAGCTGATTGGGTGTCTAGGGCCTTTTTGTTTAGAGCAGAAACTGGACAAAGACTGGGAATCCTAGCCAGGCTGGCAGCACACAGCTTTAATTCTAGTACTTGGGAGGCAGAGGCACATGGATTTCTGAGTTCAAGGCCAGCCTGGTCTGCAGAGCAAGGGACAGCCACAGAAACAGAAAAATCCCATCTCAAAAAAACAGAATCCTATTGTGATAGGTTGTTTCTCTGCACATATCTGGGCCAATTAGAGGTTTATACACTCTTGTGCACATTCTTCTGGCCCACTCAGCAGAGTGGTCACCCTTTGAAGCCCCTCTGTTCATCTCTGATTTGCTTTGAGCTTGGCTAGTTTTGACCATCATCCTGGCAGTGTTGCCAGCTCTTCCAATCTTGCAGGTGTTGCTGATCCAACCAGGGTGGGGTCTGTAAGTGCTCATCAGATCTCTTGACTCTCATGTGTTTTAGCATAGGGGGGAGTGATTCCTATGGCATTCCCATGACACAGCTGCAGCCCTTTCTGATTGCCCCACACTAGCTCCTTGTTATGGGTGTTCTCGGAAGGTTTCTTGTTAGAAGCTGTCCTCTAAGTTGTTTGTGACATTTAGCTACATAAAAAGTTTGAAAGCACCATGCCTTGTCTATGTCTTCCAGGGCTTCATGGGGCTGGCCAGTCAACTTGCAAATATCAACTTTATTTCCAGATGTAGAGTAAAAGGGGGCAAAGAAAAAAAATGCCCTGACCCCGACTTGACCCCCTAGGACTTGAAATCCCACCAATCCCTGAGTTTGTACCAGAATCAAGCTCCAAAACAACTCCAATTCCAAGCCACCATGGAAAGCTTCCCTCTTCCTCCCACCAAGAAATCTTACATAAGGTCTGCACTGTGAAGTTTGCTGCTGCTCCTTACCTGAGGTAGCCATCCTCATGGATTCTTCCTTCCCAATAAACCTCGGGTGAGGTATATGGAGTTTGCTTTCTTTGTGACAAAAGTAAGCCACTGGGTAAGAAAGTGCCCTTGACTTGACTGCTTACTGTATGCTGTCCAAATTGGACAAGCAGGATACAAAAGAAAACAACTGCTAAACTTTGCCAAGACAAGGCAGGACAGTCTTTCAAAATTCCTGCTTAACAAAAATGTCTGTCAGATATTTTAGGTCTGCAGGCTTCAGATGGATGCCCCAACGTTACAGAGGAACCTTGGCTAACTGTCTAGTCAGTCAGCTGTCTGTCATTTCTTAGGTCTGGAAGTTGTTTGCTCTGTACTTCCTGTTTACTCAGGTATATCCTTCTTGGGTCTCTGATGGAGTTGAAGACTAGTTAGTTATAGTTTTTCTTGTTACCAAATTCAGAAAAGAAACTCACAAAAGGTGTAAAGTGTATAAAGTTGAGAGACATAATAGTTTTGTGTTGGTAATACAAGTTAGGATAAAAGGAAAATTAGGCACAAAACTTGGGACTAACCAAGACAGGATAGATAATGGTGCGTTTTCTCTGAATTTGCCAAATGCAAAAGAACTTAACATTGTGAATGTACTTCTTACCTGATAATTATTCTTATTGTATAAAATTTTACTATGTTAGAGTTAAACCTTTCCTTTTTTTTTTTTTTTCTGTTTTTCAAGACAAAGTTTCTCTATATCTTTGGGCTTGCCCAAGCCTGTCCTGGAACTAGCTCTTGTAAGACCAGGCTGGCCTCGAACTCACAGAGATCTGCCTCTGCCTCCCGAGTGCTGGGATTAAAGGCGTGTACCACCATGGTCCAGCAAAAAATTCTTCTAAAGGAAAGGACTGACCCCTGAAGCTGTCCTCTGACCACACATAATCCGTGGCAGGACACATGGGCACACCCTAACAACCGACAATGAAAAAACACACATTTCAGAATGAGTAGACTCATGAAACATCTGTAAACAAGAATAAATTTAATTTCTTTTAAAGATTTAATGATATACAAAACGTATATGGTATAGTATCTTTAAGTAATACACTTTTTCTCTCCACATCAACATTAAACACTATTAAACAGCTTATCTCTGCTTGCCTTGTCTGTATCTATGAGATACACTATTGAATACAAATAAGCTTTACACTGCTCCCTTCCAAATAAAAATTAAAATTAGTACCTAGGAAATGAAAAGAAAGAGAAAGCATAAAACTTGAGTCATATGATAAGCTTTTCTTGTTGAATATGCAAAAATATCTGGGCAATTAAGTTACATTTTATTGGCATAAAGTTGGACTGTGATCTCCTTATATTGTATAAGGATACTCCAACAACTTATTTCTTAAATAAGTACCAAAAACAGAATTCACATTGACACATTCCTACACAAATTTAAATGTGAGAGCTCACACACCACTCTGATTGGATACACTAAGTCAGTAAGTCTTTGGAGATGTATACAACTGCAGGTTATTTTAACTGTAACCTTCCTAAAGGAAACACTCACTGAACAGTGAGTTAGTTCTCATTTACCATGGCTTTCTTTTACTTAACATTGATAAAACAATGTAAAAGACCCTTTTGCACAATTCAGGTTTTGTTTAGCAAGAAACTGGCTGTATCCATAAACAGAATGTAAAGTTGATTCTTAAATAAAATCCCTCTTAGGAAAAGGTCTTCATGAGGCCCCAGATTTGATACTCAGTACTAAAGGAAAAGAGGGACGGGCACAGGGAGGGAGGGAAGACACATGGTTTTCAGTGCAGGCTTTTAAAGCTGCCTGTGAAGCTAGAATATAATAAGGAGTCGTTTTTCCTGTGGCCACAAATCTAGTTGAAAGCTAGCATCATTATCATGCAGCACACCAAATTGAGGAAGACTTCTGCCATTTAACAAAAAGCTGTGTGATTCAGTTTCTTTAGCTGAATGTCTGTAACTGAGCAGCCAATGAAATTCAAAGACACTTGACTTTGGTTAATGATACTGCACCAAGTGACAGGGAATCACTACCCTTGACAGAGCAAAGTTTCCGATTCCCTGCTGTAAGAGCCCTTCACAAGTTGAAAGCATTAACTTCTACCACTGCTAACATTTCTCAGCTGTCATCTGTATTGAAGTGCTTTTCAATGAGAACACTAACCTCTAGACTACATGTGGGGCCAGCAAACTCAATTTGCACACACATTTTTGTATCATCAAATCCCTCCTGAAGGAAAAACGACAGTCACACTTTTGTGAAGTGTAGGCAAAAATCAGACCTATAACATCAGACGAACAGAATTTGTTGCTTCTGTTTCTTTGGTGGAATTTCCAGATTGAAGATTCAAATCTGCTGACTCTTCCTGAGGAAATATAATCTTATCAGGCGTATAGTCATTCCTCTTCAGATCTACAGGTACAATCCCAGAAGGGGAAAAGTCAGTATGTTTATAAATAAAAAATTAAGAACATATTCTACATTATTTTTCCTCCAAACATGTCAGAACTATTTCCTTAAATCTTACACTTAATAGTCATACATTTCTATACAATTATTACATGAGGATCACAAATCAGTAAACTATGGAAGTATGACACTATAGCAACAAATCCAGTACAAGGCGCCTGCTTTCGTAATCACGGAAGTGTGAGAGTACAGTACAGTACAGTAATGAACAGAGCACAAGGCACCTGCTTTTATGAAGCTTACAAGGTCAAAGTCTTATGCCAGAAAACCTCCCATTCTCATGGACTGTTAGGGAAAGATTGTGAAAATGGCTATCCTACCAAAAGTTATCTACAGATTCAATAGAATCTCCATCAAAATTCAAGGATCAATTTGAAATTGATCATGGAGTTCAATTTAAGACCTGATGCCCTGAATCAGATACAGGACAGACCTGAGAATAAGCTTGAATTCATTGGCACAGCACAGGACTTTCTAAACAGGACCCAAAACAAGATTTCATGAAACCAAAAAGTTTCTGTACAGAAGAAACCATCATCATTCTGTAGGCAGCCTACAGAATGGGAATTATCTTTTTAACAGTTGACATCTGACAGAGGGTTGATATCTTAAATACATACACACAAAAACTAAATACCAAGACACATACAATGTATTGTGGAAGAAGAGATAAGACTTTAAGAGCCAGAGGAGGTAGATGGACACAAGAAAATGGTATCTTTCAAACACAAAAGGGTAACTGCATGTAAGAACTCATGGGTTTTAACAGCATGCACAAGCCCCATACAGACCAATGTCAACAGGGGAGGGGGAGGTAGACATCAAGTTCTACCCAGTCAAGGAATTATCTGGGAGAGAGACAATTTACTTTTAAAAAGAAAATGCTGTTCCTGGGCTGTAGAGATGGCTCAGTTGGAAGAACACCTGTCACATAAGCACGAGGACCTGAGCTCTAATCTCAGAACCCACATAAAGAAAAAGTAAGTCAGATGTAGCTAGGTGGGAAGCAGAGGCAGAAGGATCTCTATTTCAGAGCAAGCCTGGTCTACACAGCAAGTTCTAGAACAGCGAAGGCCACAAGTGAGAACCTGACTCCGATAGAT